TTAAAAATTTAATCAATATAAATAAAATAAACCACTAAACCAGGAATGTTTTTCTTTATCTATTCTTTCACTTTTTGGCCCTCAATGATGATATGCGATAACAAGCGCTCTTTTGACAAAGGGGAAATTCCAAACTCAAGAAATCAAAAAGCAAAGTGAAAATGATAATGTTTTAATCATGTCATGAACAGAAAAGAAACACTCATTTATGATGGCGGAGATGGAGGCGGTTGACTGCCCTTTTGCCACTTTGCAGGTTCTTTTATAGCTTATCTCTTGTTATCTTTAAAAGATATACATGCCTCCAGTTTTATACTGTTACCTGGGGTTTTTAGTTAACAAATTTTTTGGCTTACCAAACTCAAATTGTAATTTTGGGTGTATAAAAGGGCCAATTGACTCGGGTTTAGTATCTTGAATTTCATTGTTAGCACTCCCAAGTAGTGATAAGCCTTCCTAACAATGGTGACTATAAATTTCAAATACTAAATATTGCAGATAAAGTTAACTAACTCTAAATTTTGAACATTTGATATTATTTATGGAGGCAATATACTTCTGCTTAGCAAATTCTAATCCTTTCTCAACTTGCATATTATACTCTAGTATCTTTTTGTATTTATGAACAATCAGACAGTACTACTTTTAATTTTTCATATAGACTAAGAAGATAATTTAAGTGAAATGGAAAGAATAACAAGTAACAAATTTCAACAGAAATTCTCACTTATGAAGAAAAGAACTTATACTTGCACCAAATGATAAAGCAATCTGCAAAAACAGAATAATTACGTATGCAGAATTAGGACCTGAGCCCTGGAACTAATATAAATTTATTTTACGTTCTTTTTATATTTTACCTCCATTCAAACAGTCCATTGAAGTTTAAGAGAGCATATTATGACATATTATTTGATAAAATACTAATAAAATAATTAACAACTATAAAAACAGTTAACAACTACTAAAATAATTAATTATTTTGCCTGCACCGCTTTAATGTTATTTATTAGCATGGAAATATTTATTATTATTTAAAACTTTAGAGTATTTATTTTTTAAAATATGATAACATTTACTTACAATTTGCCAGAAACATTATTATAGTTAAATTTGTGATTATATATAAATTATATTTTGAACCATTTTGGTAATTAGAGTCTGAAAACATTAATGTTTAGTCATTTTCATACTTCGTTTTGCCCCATCAATGCAGCTGACAAATGTCAGAGTCAGCACCCAACAAAACATTCATCCCTGTCCTGATAAAAATTTAGCAGAATTTTAAAACCTGGACGGGGATCAAGTCGGGACCATCAAATATTCCAATCCGTGATTTTTATCTTTCAAAAACAAATGCTGTCTGGAATTTCAAATCTTTATATTTATCCTCATTAGCTACTTAATGGCTCAGTCTGATCATTATCAATTAGTGAAAAAAATATAAAGTTTGCAAAAAATTAATTCACTTAAATTATTATTTTACATTTTTTTAATTATGAATGAAGGATTATTTTATTATTCTTTAAATTAAAAGGAAAATGCTTTGAGGTAAATAGAAAAATTAGGCTATTTTTTAGGTTTGATTTTATAAGAATTCAATTTATTTAGATTAGGATAATAATCAAATTACAGTAATATTTTTCTAATTTTGATTTATTACTTTTATAGAATTTGGATGAAATTGACTGAACCAATTAATAAATATAATTTAATTTTGATTTTCATGGAAAGAATTGAAATTTTTTTGTTTGGTTTTATTTTCTTTTCATGAAATCCAAAAATAAACTTAAAACTATTAAAAATAGTTAAAAAGCAAACTAAATTGATCAAAACCAACCGATTCAAATGGTCCAATTTTTATTTCAGAAAATTTCAATTTGTTCAGTTCACTTACCCTTAGATTTGAATTATAAAGTCTTATACTAAGACTACATATATTTAATCCTTGACCTATTAGCTAAATAGTGTTACGGTTTGGAAGCTTCTTAGGATGGTAAGATATTTCCAACTGTGCCATCAGCTAGACCACCGTTATTTGACCGGCGATGTCACTATCCCCAACTTGAGCTTTGGAGATGGCTTAGCAAAACGGCCATGCCATTGACTCTGTCGCCAGCCCAATTTGGTGCCTGTCCAATGCAGAAAACCAAAAAAAAAAAAAAAAAAGTTCATCCTATCCTAATAAATCAGTAAGCCTCGGTCACTTTCAAAGGTTTGATAGTCCCAATTTGACGAACATTATTCAAAAAATATAGTTATTTGAGTAACGTGATTCACAATATCATTTCAATTCAATAGGTCTCCCACATATTAAAAAAAAAAATTTTGATGGTCAAATTTCACCATATAATCTAATTCTCATTGCATACTCATGGCTTATTGCCCCATTCATAATTTTAAGTTTTGGTCTCAATATAAATATAATAAAACTTTAATTTGGTTAGCCATTTAAATTACGGAGTCTTACACGTAGTTTCATTTATGGTTGTTAGAAAATAGGAAAAGTGAAAGATTTCGAATTCAAATTTCTTTAATAAAATTTAATACAATAAAACTTTTAATAATTTACAAATATATTTTTTTTTAAAAAAAATAGCTATTCTATTACGTAACTCGTGATTATTTTTCAAAATAACTAGATGAGAAAATGAAATTCAAAATAAGGGGTTGAATTATTTAAAAGAGTATGGCATATTTAGAGTTCCTAGCCTAGTAAATCAACCTAAAGCTAAATCGATTAGATTGTTATTTTTTAATTCTAAGTATACTCCATCCATTCCAAAAATATAAGTCATTTTAAGTTGATTATTTTGTCTCAAAATATAAGATATTTGGATTATTATAATGAGTAATAAATGATTTTTTCTAATTTTACCACTATTTATATCAGATGCAATATCTATGTTCATAAGTTACTATTGGTTTTGAGATAAAATATAATTTATACAAGTTACCTTTGATTTAGTTATAATTTAAACGAATTAATATTGCTTCTTTACTCCATCTGCATAAACTTTAAACGATTTATAATTTGAGACGGATAGAGAAATATTTAACTAATGCTATGTTTGTTTCCGGAAATAACTATTTTTGAAAAATGGTTAAAAATATTAAAAATTTTAACTTAGAAGACAATAATAATAATAATAATAATAATAAATAATAATAATAATAAAATTAATATAAATTTCGTATTTTATTATATTAAATATAGAACAACGCAAAAAAAAAATGATAAATCAGTTAATAATAATAATATAAATTTCGTATTTTATTTTATTATTAAATATGAGAACAACGCAAAAAAAAATGATAAATCAGTCACCTACGGTGGTAGCTGGTGGTGAACAGTGAGTGGTGGTAGTGACTATTAATGATTAATAAATTAAGAAAAATATGAAATTTATAAGGTTATAATAAATTTGTCAAAATTCAACAAATGCTTCACGCTCTAAAAATGACTTAATTTTCTTTTGACTAGAAAAATATTTTCGTTCACTTACTTTTCTGAACACCTCAAATAACAAAAAATTATGAAAAATATTTATTTGCAAGTTATTTTATGAAAACAAACGAAACGTTTACAAGCTTAATCAATTTTCTTTTTTTTAAAGTGAAGACAACCATATTTAAAATTAATGTGACTATGGATAATAGGAAAAACATTAAAAAAAAAAAAGCTTCCTTATTTAATTTTCCATTAATTATCATATTATCACTTAAGAAATTATTTAAAACAAGAACCATTTCTAGATCAACAAATTCTGTGCACACAATGAGTGATTATAAGCAAAGATGCTTCCAATGGCCACATTATCAACCAAAGAAAATCTCTTTCTTTTTCAACCTATTTATATCTTTGCCATATCTATGCATATAGTCTTTTTTTCTTTATGCCCTATTCAATTTTAATAATTAATTTTTAAGTCCCAATATAGAATCCTATAGTTCATAGCATTGCATTGTCCCCATATACTATTAATTATTTGCCTGGCTGGTATATAATGGAGATCTAGTGCAAAAGCTTATGTGATGATGGCTTCAAAAAATAAAATTAATGATTAGAATTAGATTTTTAATGATGAAACTTCTCCTATGAGTTTATAATAGATTAGTTAAATTTGTTATTCCTACTTTGCTATTATGTATTATATGTTCATGCAAAATATATAAAAAAGAGTCACCAATTATGCCTTTCATTAATAAAAAAAAAAAAAAAAAAGATTATTAAAGGGAGAAAAAAAGAAGCAAAAGTAGAAATCGGCGTGATTGCAAAAATTTCAAAAAAGTGGATTCTTTTATGGTATCAATTTTCGACTTTTATTCCAACTTTTATGTACTAAAATGGAAGAAATGGGATCCCATAAGTCACTTTTCACTTCATTTAATGGAAACCACACTCTATAGTTCACATTTTCAATGGGCTACATATATAATATATACATAACCCAATTGTTCCAACATCATCAAAATGGAGAATTTGTTTTAAATTGTTTGATGTGAATTTATCAAATTTATGCTTGATAAACTTATTTTTATATAAAATCGAATTTATAATATTTTTGTATTTTTGAAAATGAAGAATTTTTATACTTCCATTCTAAAAATAGGTCAATTATTACATGATTCAACTTCAATACACTTTCACTCTATAAATATTTTATTCAGCTGTTCTCTTTTTTTTTTTTTTTTTTAAAAAAAAAAGATAAATCCAATTATTTATGAGCATATTGAATCCCTTCCAACACATTGAATTTGTATTTTTTTTTTTTTTAATCACTTTTTATGGCTGGAGAAGCACAATAGGTAGCAACTGTTTTTTCAATCAAAAATGTTACTTATACACCTGTTAGGATAGCCCAAATCCAAAATTTAAGATTGGACCATACTCCAGGTTGGGCTCAACCACTCCAGCATCAAGTCATACTGAAATCAAACTGTCTCTGATCTTTTTCGGTGTCCAGACTCTCTCATCAGAATTATTTTGTTCTTAAAGATAATACAAGTGAGAATGAAATCTTCCCCTAATGCAACATAAGATCATCGGTATCTTACACATTTTCAACAATTGCAAACTCGACGGAATTTATGAACTATAACATTATCAATCCGTCCAAAATGGGCACAAGGAGATAAAAATTTGATTCAATCGCTCAACGCCACCAAAACTCTCATTAACATCAGAAAACCTAACGACTAGTGTGAAACTTTCCTAGTTATTACACTGTAAGACCTGCTGGAGGAGCAGCTGCTGGTGCCTTAGGCTTAGGCTTTTCCACCACAATGGCTTGAGTGGTGAGGACCATTCCGGCTACTGATGCAGCATTCTGCAGGGCACATCTTGTCACCTTTGCTGGGTCGATAACTCCAGCCTCCACAAGGTTCTCATACTTATCTGCCATGGCATTGTAACCAATTTCCCATTCACTAGCCTTTAGCTTCTCCACAACCACCTCACCTTCAATTCCAGCGTTTTGAGCTATCAATGATGCTGGTGCTACCAATGCCTATATGCAAGCAAATGTATCAGGTTAATGCAAGCAACCAACAAAAGCAAATATCAATTAAAGAGATCAAAGACCTTCAAGATTAAAAAGAAAAAAATTGAAAATAAAAAATAAAAAAGAAGTTGCAGAAATAACGTCCTGGGACCAAAACACATTTTAACAGGTATCTTAAAAACTGAATGGCTATCAAGTAAACCCTAAAGTTTTAGACAGGAGAAATACTGTCACTCCTCTGCTATTCCCCTCCCAGACCCTCAACACCCCAGAAAAAAAACAGGAACCCAAACTAGGAACTTTTGACACTCCATGGCGCTGAACTGGTAGCAGTTGTTCGAAACTCCATGTACTTACACAAACTCTGTCCCTAGGAGAAAGACTTGCATCTTCATTACAAGCAAGTTAACAACATAACCAATTAAATATAATAAGAAAACTACATCACGTTTGACCTACTGAGTCATCGGGCAACTGATTTCATTGAAAATGTTTATTACACAGTTCTACCACCACATATGTACCTAAAAATGAGTAACAATTTACCTTTTGCACTATATCAGCACCTAGACGCTCATCCGCATCACTAATCTTGTCCTTAATTGCAGGCACAGAAGTCGAGAGATGAACGAATGCCGCACCACCACCCGGCACAATGCCTTCCTCAATTGCAGCAAATGTTGCATTCTTGGCATCCTCAATTCGGAGTTTACGATCTTCAAGCTCAGTCTCTGTTGCAGCCCCTACTTTGATAACAGCAACTCCACCAGACAATTTGGCAATTCTCTCAGCCAATTTCTCTGAGTCATAAACTGAATCTGTCTCAGCCAACTCTTTTTTCAATTGTGCAATCCTGGCTTGTAACTCGTCCTTAGATGCAGCATCTGCAATAATTGTGGTAGAGTCCTTGGAGATGGTCACTTTTCTGGCCAAACCAAGCTGCTCAACGGATGTATTTTCAATGAGCAAACCCAAATCACTGGCTTGGAACTCAGCTCCTAAAATGCAGGAAAACCAGGGAGAACTAACAATATTAAGCATCAACAAATAAACAACTCAATAATACTTGAATCGGCAAACACACACACACACACACATATTAGCAAACTCCATAGAAAATCACACAGTTCATTATTAACTGCACACCTGTCAAGATGGCAATGTCTTGAAGCATAGCTTTTCTTCGTTCACCAAATCCAGGAGCTTTGATGGCAGCAACATTAAGGATGCCACGCAGCTTGTTCACAACAAGGGTAGCCAAAGCCTCCCCAGTGACATCCTCAGCAATTATAAGCAAAGGTGCCCTCAATTGAGTGGTCTTCTCTAGCAGGGGAATAATGTCCTTTATTGCTGAAATTTTCTGATCTGTAACCAACACTCTTGCATTCTCGAATTCACAAATTAGCTTCTCAGGATTTGTTACAAATTGAGGAGAGATATAACCTCTGTCAATCTGCAATACAGAAGAATGATGTTAGCTTTTTAGTCAAACCACCTGAATTAGCAGAAATCATGAAAAAAAAAAAAAAAAAATTTAGATCAAACACCTCTGAAAATTAGCAGAAATTCATTTGAAAAAAAAAAAAAAAAAAATGGGGGCAGGCTGTGATAGATGATTAAGCATACCTCCATTCCTTCTTTCAACTTCTACTGTTGTCTCAAAGAAAAAAAAAAAAAAAAAAATGGGGGCAGGCTGTGATAGATGATAAGCATACCTCCATTCCTTCTTCAACTTCTACTGTTGTCTCAAATGAGGAGGATGACTCAATAGACAAAACACCATCAGGCCCAACTTTGTCAATTGCATCAGCAATCATTGTCCCAATCAACTCATCATTTCCAGCAGAAATGGAAGCAACAGCTGAAGACATAACTCAATGTAAATTACAAATCAAATAACTAGAAATAATTGGGATACAGATCATTTTAATAGACAAAGGCAGTGTAAGAAGTATAGTACCTTTGATGTCATCACGACCTTTAACAGGCCTAGCTTTCTTTTCTAGCTCCACTACCAGACCCTGGACTGTCTTATCAATTCCCTTTTTTATTGAGACAGGATTAGCTCCAGAGGTGACATTCAAAAGCCCTAGCTTGATTATTTCTCGTGCAAGGACTGAGGCAGTTGTTGTCCCATCACCAGCAGAGTCATTGGTTTTACTTGCAACCTTCACCCGCACATCAAAAACATGTCAATGTACTAATTCCAAACCCTTGCTATATATAGTCAACCAAAAAACATGATAACAAATGGTATGGATATGGCAAGTAAATGAGTAAATTACACAATTAGTAACGAGAGAGATTCTGGATAGGAAGACTTACCTCCCTTATTAGGGCTGCACCGGCATTCTCCATGGGATCGGGTAGTTCAATAGCTCGGGCAATTGTTACACCATCATTGACTACCTTAGGACTTCCAAACTCATCCAAGACAACGTTTCTCCCTACAATATGCAATTGAAGTATGGGAGTTAGCATCTTCCCCTTATATTTCCTTATCAAATTTCCTTGCAAAACTGCTGGTGGAAGACTTTGTTCAACACTATAAAGTTGCACGGGGGTGGGGGGAAGAAAAGGATACATTCTGAGCCATTGACAAAAATCCATTCCGAGATATTTACAAAACACAGAAGCTCAACAAGGAAAAACTTAACTGTATCACACTTGTAAAAGGAGAAAGCTAAAAGCATTCAAATTGATACTCCTCAAACAATGCATGCTAAAAGCATTCCAATCAACCATTATCCGAAAATTCAGCAAAGCAACAATCATTCCTGAACCCCACAACCAACACATTTTCTACTCAGCTACTTCACAACAAAACATGCTTATTGCTATTACTGCTAGAAACCAACTTGGCTTTTGCCTAGTATCTTACATCAGATTTTTAGCTAAAAATTTAAATTGGACTTCAAAATTACAGCAAACAATAGCAAGGATTTGACATCAATACATCATTTGGTTAACAAAAGTTTCATATCTAATCAAAATTTCATCTATTTGAGCTGTAGATGGAAAAGTCAAGACAAATGATATATTATATAATATACTAGAACAAGAAGATACCCCTAGGACCAAGTGTAAGCCCAACAGCATCAGCAAGCTTATCAATGCCAGACTGAAGAGCAGTCCTTGAGTGCTGATCAAAGGCAATGTCCTTTGCATTTGCTCGCACTGTAAATCTTCTGGCTGACTGCCCATAATTCAGCCTATGATTCTGCTGCTGATTCACTCTCCTCCTCAAGCTCCCCTGCAAGTAAAATTGCATATAATTAAAAAATTTGCCACTAACAAAAACAACGAGATATTAAGATTTGCCATGCAATACAAGTGAAATTGCGAAAGCTACAAAATAAATACTCAAAATGCAAGATTTATATGTACAAACAAGCACATAAAAGAAAATGAAAACTCACAAAACCCATTACATCTGTTCACTTTTGCTCATTTAAGTAATTAAATTCTTCAATCGCTTACTTTTTCTCGGAAAACAATCAGAAAGCTTAAGCAAGAAAATACCTGTTTCGGAGAGCAAAGAATGGAAGCTGTGGAAATAGCATTAGATGTTGCCATTTCTCTGTGACCCAAGAGAGAAAGTAGGGTTTTTGAGCTTTGAGAGGGCAGTTAGATGGTGGTGTTTTGTGTGGATAAGGAAAGGAGGCAAGCCAAAGACTGAGGGTATTAGGGTTTAGTTTTATTGATAGAAATGAAGTTCCAGAAGATTCTTTCGACTTCGTAGAAGCGTCGAGTTTTTTTTGGGTTTTGTTGGTTAGCCACTGAACTTAACCACCGCCGAAACGGGAAAAAAAGGGATGCGTTTGTAGGTGTAGATTGTTTTTTTTTCCTTTTTTCCTTTTTTTTGTTAATTTGATACGTAGTTGATAATTTAAAGTTAGCAATATTTTTATTTCTTTCACATAATATAAGGGAGCAAAGCATAAAAAGAAACAATATAAACTTTTCTAATATTATATAAAGCATCAATTTAAATTCCGATATATTAAACAATAATATTTTATATAGTTTTTAGTATTTTGACTAATTAAATTTATTTAATACTTTATTTGAATGAATATAAAATAGACGGTGAAAATTTTTTGAGATTATCAAGATTCCTTATTTGGTTTGCGGTGAAAATGTGAAGGATGGTATAAAATAACCCATCTTAGCCTATTTTCACTCCATTTTGAAATGAAAATGAATAGTTTCATTTTACACTTTTATTCTATTTTCACCTTTATTTTACTTCTTCGCTCTTCCCAAACATAGCATAAAAGTTGGAAAAGCTAATTATGAAAAATCATTCTCCTTAATAATTGATGAAACATGTCTCAATAATGTGAATTACACCAATTCGTAAAATTGAAATAACAAAGGAAATTAGGCCTAATAAAATTCTCTCTTTCTCTACATATTATAACATTTAGAAGTTATTTGTATGAAAGAGCTATATTATTTTTATATTTATAATTATAATTATTATTTTAAAATTTATTTTATTGAGTATTTAGTATATTTCATCAACATATTATACTAATACCATTATTTTTTGATAACTTAAAAGATTTACAAAAATAAAAAATAAAAATAATAAAGAAAACCTTATAAATATATAAACAATTAATAATAATTTAATTTGATTGATAAACGTAAATAAATTAATATGATGAAAGAAATAATATGTGTTATTTACCTTTTTTTTTTTAAAAAAAAAAAAGTCTTTGACTATTATAAGAAAAACTACTACTCTAATCTTTTTCTTATAAATTTAAAAATGATAGAAGCACTGTATCCTAATAAATTAAAAAGAAAAAAGTTACCTTATTTGCAAAACTAAAAATAATAAACATTGATATTGCTTCTATAAATCGAAGCAATCTGTTTTACTCAAACTATGAATGAATAAAAGAAAGCAACTCAATGGATCGATAATCGTTAGGTGTCTTTTACTTATGATGTTAATTTTTATCACCCTTCAAAAAGAGGTTGAACATTAAAAAAAAAAAAAATGAAAAAGAATTTGTATAGCAAATTTAGTGAATATAATAGTCATATACATAGTACTCAAAAAGGAATTAAATTTTAGAATAAAAAATAAAAATAATTAAACTAAAAAATAACAAAATGATACATCAATTTACAGTGTGATTATTAATTATTGAAAAAACTAAGTAATACTTATTATTAATGCAATAAATTTATCTTTTAGATTATTAATTTTTGAGTATAGGGAAGAGAGATTCGAACTGGATTTATTATTAGGTTGTACGTGTTTACCATTAAGTTATACCTTTCTGTGCTTTTTTTTTTTTTTTTAATAACAGGGAGGAATTTAATCCATTAGATTATATCCTAGGCGAAACAGCACCCACAATATCAGCATAACAAATTCTCGAGTCGTAACAGATGAAAAATCCAAATAATGAAGCCTACGAGGTTGGAAAAGAGCCTTATTTGCTAACGAATCAGTTATATAGTTAGTCTCACGAAAGATCTTAATAAACTTGACCACCCCATTTCTTGTTAATCAGAGCAACACAACTTGAAACCAAATTCTTATAACATAAAGAAATTGTACCTGCACTGTTCAACATATTAACAACAACCTATGAATCAGTTTGAAGCGTCACTTTCTTCCAATCCTTAGTCCAAGCAATGTTAAGAGCATGCAAGACAGCCCATAATTTGGCCTCTAAAACATTGCCATACCCCATATTAGTAGTAAAATCTCCTAGTCAATGTCCCGAACAATTCTAAAGCAACCCTCACTTCTAGTAGCCCCTCAATTCTCATGAGAACTCCTATTAGTGTTTATCGTAATCCAACCATGCAGAGTAGCCTCCCTGTTGATAATAAAAGTTAGTTTCTAGTCTATAGTAATAGCCCATTGTCCTATTTATTCCACGCAAGATGAATTTTCAAACTTTTTTATATGCAAAAACAGAGAGGTTAGGGACTTGTGTTGAGTAGAAGGATCGAATACACAGTCATTTCAAAACATCCATAGCCACCAAAGAATAATAATAAACAAAACATTCCATACACAACCACCACCAGCCCAAAAGTCACAACATAAATTCTTGTCCAACCAACTTTACAAGTTAGCAAAAAAGAAGAAGGCACCATCTGATAACCACGAAGAAGATTCTAAATTCATTTGGCATCAGGATAGTCTATTGTCAAATGTAAAATTATCTCAAGAACCTGCGGACAAGCATAATAATACAGGTTTGTCAAGAAATCATGTTTAACATGCTCCATATTGACATAATTTTAGCATGAGCAACCTACCAGAAGAATACACGTATTTGCTGGGGCATTTTCAGATGCCAAAAACCCTGCCAAATCGAGTCATTAGCTAAAGACTCGGAATTAGCTAAATAATGATAGGAGGATTGTATCGAGTATTGACCAGATGTCAAGTGTTGCAGAGCGACCCCATCCAGATCATTAATATCCTTGACTGAGAAATGGGGTTGGAGAACATTGAGAACCTGAAAAGGAAGCCAAGGAGAAAAAAATATCCCATTGTCACCACTACCTGAATTCCAGTAAGCAGAAACTATTTGTTATTGTTTAAGAATATCAACTCCTTGGTAATACTGGATTAGATGATACGGATCCATTGGTGCTTCCTAGTGGGGCAATTACACGGAGCCATGCCAAGCGATATGGGGCAGCCATGTCCTTATATGTTGACCAAATTACACCTCCTTGGTAAATTACTGGATTAGATGATACGGATCCATTGGTGCTTCCTAGTGGGGGCAATTACACGGAGCAGGTTGTAGCAAACAATGGAGTTCAATACGGTCTAAAAAGGAGAAGAAGAGTAAAGAAAAGGGCATGGATTCTAAGGAGAAGTGGACTGATCCTAGCAAGTAAAAGGATACCTCAATTTTTAACTAAGATTCGAGGACGAATCTTTTTGAGGAAAGGGGGAATGATATGGATCCATTGGTGCTTCCTAGTGGGCTTGGATGTGTTTTTATCCCTTGTTGCTTGTTTTGGTCTAATTAATATGTAAGGGATATGGGTTCATAGTGTTTATTTAAGTTGTTTTGGGTTGATTTTATGATGCATGCAATCTGCCCAATATCAAGTTGTTTGTTTTGGGCTGGAAATGACTTTATTTTGTACATAGTTAGGGCCCATTGTTTTGGCGTGGTAGGGCAGCCTAGTTTAGATTTCTCTTCTTAGAGTTTAGGTTTGTTGAGGCATATAAATAGCATCCTTAAGAGTAAAAACGTGATTATTTTTTGGCATAAGTTTGAATCTAAGGCCAGAATTGTTTCATTGCTTTGCATGGTTCTTTTCTTAATTAGAGTGATTGTTGAGGAAATTTTGCTATCCTCTAATTATATCAAGAATAAGGTTTAAACTTATCAAACTCATTGCTGGCGTTTATTCTTGTTTCTTTACTCGATTATTGGTGTTTCCATTCTGTATAAAACGTGGGGTTGCCATAGAGGGGAATTCATTTCTTAATCTTTTGATCGAATCCAACTCGATTAGGGGTTCTAGGAAATTTCATTCCTGGTTCTAGGAATTCATTTCCTTTGGGTTTCTTGTCATTTGGTATCAGAGCCAAATCAAAGATTTAAGGTAAGTTCTGTTATCTTAGTTTAGGAATTTGAGCTTTCTAGTTGCTGGATTTCCGTTGATGTTGTCTTAATACTTGCTTTCATTCTAGATTTGGATTTTTCTCTTTAGATCTTCTTGGATCTGGACCTTTTCACTTTAAATCTTCTTGGATATAGAATTTTCTCTTTAAATATTCTTGGATCTGGACTTTTTCTCTTTAAATCTTCTTGGATCTGGACTCTTCTCTTTAGATCTTCTTGGATCTGGAAATTTTCTCTTTAAATCTTTTTGGATCTGGAGTTTTCTTTTTAGATGTTCTTGGATCTGGATTTTCTCTTTGGATATTCTTGTTGTTTGCCACGTTTTTCTAGTTATCCTTTTGATCAATTCAAGATCTGGAAGTTTTTCTCTTTGTTTAGCCATAGATTTGTTTAAATTTGTTTAATCAGATCTGTTTAAAAAAAACAAAAAAGGAGAGATCATTGCTGGACAACCTAAACAATCTAATTATGACAGTCTATCTCACACTTAATTAAAGACAGAATATTTGACTTGATTTGGGAACTTATTGACATCCTAGCTTACACTCATTTGAAGGGTAGCATATTTTGACTTGATTTGGGATGTTATCTTGAGAAAACACAAAGTCATTGCTGGAAAAATTAATTATTCTTGCTAAGATAGCCTGTCTCACACTTAATTAAAGACAGAATATTTGACTTGATTTGGGAACTTATTGACAGCCTATCTTACACTCATTTGTAGGGTAGCATATTTTGACTTAATTTGTGATGTTATCTTGAGAAAACACAAAGTCATTGCTGGAAAAGTTAATTATTCTTGCTAGGACAGCCTATCTCACTCTTAATTAAAGGCAGAATATTTGACTTGATTAGGGATCTTAATTGACAGCCTATCCTTTACTCATTTGAAGGGCATCATATTTTGACTTGGTTTGGGGTCTTATCTTGAGAAAATACAAACTCATTGCTGGACAAGTTAATTATTTTGCTAGGACAGCCTATATTACACTTATTCTTATTTGCACAAGCATGCATTTTTAGAGATAATTAATCAACTTTGTGACAACAAAGTGAATCTGGTTAATCACTATTAATTTCCTGTTGTCAAATATGAAATTTTAGCTTTTATTGTTTGCCTTGCTTAATTGGTAGAATTAAATTAGGTCCATATTTGGTTTGCTTTGTAGTGAACTAAATTCATACATTATATCCAGGAATTCGCTTTTTTAAATTTCAGTTTATTTCTTATTTGT